AAATAAATAAATAAATAAGTAAATAAATATACATAGTTTTCTTCAAGTGTTATAGTTTCTTTTTCAGAGTTTAAATCTTTGATCTATATGAAATTCACTTTGGTTTAAGGAGTAAATTGGGTATTTGTCTTAATTTTTTTCCCAAATGGTTCCTAGTTACATCATTTCCACTTATTAAATAATCTTTTCCTCATTGGTCTGAAATGTAGTTTTCATTTTATTTTTTAAATATTTCACAATTTATATTTTTTATTAGAGTCCATAGTCTGCTAAACAAAAGCAGTAACAAGATATTGCACAAACTATTATACAATTTAAGCCTTAGGAATTTAATTAAATGTAGCTTTTATACTAAATTCTGGTGTATAGTTAGGTGTAGTTTTGAACTCCGTACAATTTAATTAGAGAAAATTTACGGTTCCCTAAACCACTCGTTTAGGGAATCCAGCATTAGATCAGTGTTACTATGGATCCAGACCTGTTAACAGGTCTACATTTCAGTCACAAAATTCAGTTGTGCAAAGATGTACCTTTATTTCTCTCCTTCCAAACCTCAGTTAGCCCCTGAGCCCTCATGTCCATTCTGTGCAGAACACTTAACTCAGCCCATTCAAGGTATCGCTGTCTCTCATGGGTGATCTAAGCTCTGGGGGGTTGGGATGACGACAGCTTCTTTCTCACCCAGGCTTTGGTGAAGGCGGTGAGTCTGTTCGACAGCCATCTTCTTCATCTGTATTCTGGTGGCATCTAGGACATGTAACTCAGTCTGTCTGGGCCCTATCACTGTGCCCTGGCAGCAACTTATGTCCCATGGGCATTCATTGCTAGTTTCAGGCACCTGTGCCCTCTTCCTTCTCCATCCCAGGACCTCTCTTAGCTGGTGTGAGCACTTTTCGGGGTGGGGGAGGGGGCCTCAGAACTCTTGGCGGCTTCCTCTGCACCACGCAGAGGTGCTGACTCTCTGTGAAGCTGTGCTCAGGCCCATCTCCCTGGGCATCTCAGTCTTTGCCACTTCTCAGCCCTAGCCTCATGTTGAATATGAGCTTCTCCAAGAAGCTTTCCATGTTTCTTGGCCACACCTTCAGAATGGAGGCAAAAGTTTCCTGTGCCCCCAAGTCTTAAAAACCCATCTGGGGTTTTCCTTAGAGGCCCTCACTCCAGCACCATGGATGTGAACCTGGGATGTCCAGGATATAGAGGCCTGTTTTCTCAGGAATTCATATTAATTACTCATTGTCTTGCTCTCCTTTCCCAATTATCTTCTTTCCTCCAACCCGTGAGACTTGCCTCCGGTCTTGGAGAGAGGGCAGTGGCTGTGGTGGAAGGAGAGGAATGGCTTATTTATCACCCTGCAGTCTTTCCAACTCCATTGTTTATAGGACAAACTTTGGCTGCACTAGAAACTTTTTTGTTCAGACCACTGGATCCTGATATCAAAGCCAAGATTTTGGAACCAAAACAACCGTTTGTCTCTCAAAAGTCCAATTCATACAAATAAAAATATTTTGGCTTTTAATAAGATCATTTCTGTTATGAGTTTTAAGAGGCTATTTTGGTACTCAGGGCCAAGCATTTGATTCTTTGTTCTTGCTGAGGCAGGAAGAGTAATGGACACAAAGAAAACCCGGGGGAAGAAGAATGCTGGGGAGAGGCTTTGCTAATATCTCAGGAAGTCATCTGCAGCACTGAGTCTTCGACCTGGCACCTAGACTCCTGTCCCCATTCCTCTAATCACTCCATTGGTCATGCGATCTATTTCAACTAACTGCTGTCTGGGGTCCTCCCAGTTCCTTTCCTCTGCTCTTGCTTAGTCCCTACTATCTTTTGAACTGGGGTCCTGCCTGGCTTCCCTCACCACCAGTCATCCCAGGGACCAGAGTCTAAAATCTACCCTCTTTGGCTGGGTCATCATTTTGATTGCAGAGTTGTCTACCTTCCAAACTTTTGCCTACTCTCTGTTCTGGGAGCCTCCTCATGAGTGTCCATCTGCCTCCAGTTGCAGCTGCTTGATCTTTCAAGATCACCTCCCCATATCTCTCAGCCCCTCTGCCTGGCAGGAGGGCAGAGAACGTATTCTAGTGTAGGAGGCCCAGGGGTGTGTGGTGGGTTGGTGGGGGCAGTACGTGAGGAGAGCACCAAAGAAAGTCACTGCAAGAAAGGTTGCGTGGATCTCCAAGCATCATAATGCTGCCCAGTTGAGCCCAGGCTGGCTAAAAAGGGCTATCTGTGAGTCCTTATGGATTATTGCTTTGATGTATTTCTGTAGTTAGTGGCTCTTTTTCATGACATTGCCCCCTTTCCTCCCATTTCACCTCCTACCCCTGAATATTCTTCAGGTTTAATTCTGAGTATTTAGTCATCATAGGGATCTTACTTTCTTCATATCAGGAGGTAGCCATTTGTGTGTGTGCGCGTGTGTGTGTGCGCGCGCGCGCGCGTGTGCCATGAGTAGCTTGATCTTATTCTCTAGAACTGTGTACATGGATGGAGCTCTCAAAAACCATCCTCCTCTGACCACTTGTTTAGGCTTGCTCTGTTATTTGCCATTCAGTAAAAACCCTTTAACACAGAAGCTTTGATTTTGAAACAATAATTATAAGAGAAAACACTTACATGGGGGCTGGAGATTATAGGGAAACTTCATGGTCTTCTTTCTCAGACCAATAGTATGCTGCTGAACAAGCAAGTTCAACGAGTTGCAGTTTCTCCAAACTGATAATAACCTTATTCCCAAATCCTGTCTCATGAGAGTCACTAGGAAAATTTTGCCTTTTTTGCTAAGTCTAGGTTTTAATTATTTTGTGCTCAGCCGCTTTTTTGATTGAATACAACAACAACAAAAAAACAAACATGGAGTGGAATCTTTAAGCAAGTGTGTTCTTACATTGTAAGAGCATGGAACTTGTTTGAGACACCTGGATAATTTCCAATGGCTCCAGTGAAACTTTCTGGAATGTTCCCACAGGAAGCTCTCCACATTGATGAGCTTGTTGAATAATCCAGGAACCCTCAGAGCCTGCTAAACTAAAGGGATTGGTAGGAACTCTTCAGATATGAGGAAGATGTCTCTGACAGGTATGTCTGTTTGTTAATTGGATAATATTCTTTTCCTAATGACAACGCAGTTGATCTCTGATTTGGAGAAAGACCGAATAGTGACCACTAATCATTGATAAATTTGGTGGAAGAAAACAACAGCTTGTGGACTCCTGTTTCTGTCATCATAACAGACTAGATACTCTAATAAAAACATCTAGAAATTATGAATCAAATATAACAAATAGTCATTAAAACATGGAGCTCTCAAGAGAACAGGCGAAAACTCCAGACACCAAAAGTGGTGAGGTGATGCTGATACTAGCCCTACCACTGCTCCAGGAACATTTGGTGATTTTGGTAATCACAAAGTTTGGGTTTCTGACATGTAGGGAACAAGAGGCAAGGCCTTGAGCCATCCAAGGCAGGGAGAACCGAGACTCTCCATAATTTTTAGGCTCCTAGGAGGCTAAGCCACCAGAAAAAAGATGTCCAGGCAAAGGAAAATGACAAGAGAAATTGTCTGTTTCATCTGGGCTCTGAGCAGAAAGAAAGAATTCAGATTTGCTCATATGTAGTTTTGAAGTTTGAACTTATACACTTGAGAGGGCAGGATTCCCAAGTTAAAATATTAACATGAAATGGTTTTCGTTTGATAGCACTTCNTTTTATGCAGCTGTTTTCTAAAAAAAATTATTAAAAACATCTTAGTAGCTTCAGTTTATTTGTTTTGGCAGCACTAAGTCACGATTTATAGACCTGAATAATTTTCGTAATAACTCATTGGTTTCTTACATAAATTCCAAGGAATGTCTGAGAGTCTGTCATTGAAATCTGAATCAATATCTTTCTGAGCAAACAAATAATCAGAAGGACATAAGGATTAATTACACGCTGAAACATTTAGTAACCCCGAAAAGACAGTGAAGTAAAAGGCCCAGAAAGCATCCCTTCAGTATGCTAACTAAAGCCAGCCTTGAAGAATGTCCTTGGCTTTGTCAGGATTTCAAACAGGATTTCAGGAACATGAAGACTGTTAGGAAATTCTTAGGCGGTTTAAAAAGGAACAGGAACACATGCCCTAACGCGTAGGAAAGGAACTCAATATTTCTGTCAGAAGCAAGTTTCCTCATAAAAAGGAAAAAGATGTAATTTAATTTGCATGACTTTTTGTCAACTCTGGTTTATTGTGTTGCCTTTGTTTATTTTTTTGCTTGAAAGGTTTAGGCTGTTGGGCATTTGGACTAAGGCCTGAAGCACTCTGAGCTCCATTGCCCATGACTTGCCAAAGTGGTGTTAGGGAAATTGTATCTTTTTATATTTGTGAATCTTGGGACAGAGGGGAATTGTTATGCCACTTAATTTTTTAGAAAGTGTTGAGAGTTTTTATATAAAAAGCTGAACAATCTTCAAACTCCAGAGAGCAGCTGGAGGGAATCAGCATGGGGCTAGGGAGGCAGCTCATGCCTCTGCGCTTTGGTGGGTCTCTGCAGGGCTCACCTCCGGTTCTGTGCTCAGGACTGGCTGCACGTATGACTTCCTGGACACTACTTTCTCTCCACCCTCTCTGACTGTTCCTTTTCTAATCCCTTTGCTGACTCCCCTTCCTTGATGGGACACTGAAACACAGGGATTCTCCAAAATTCTACCTCTACCCAAGTTCTCTTTTTGCATGGCCGTGGAATAGTCTTTTTCACTCCAGAGGTTCCAACCATATTTCCAAATACCAATCGGATATTGTGTCTGTGCGCCCCACAGGTACGTCAGATCCAACGCCTCCAAAATTTAGCATGTCTTCCAGCCCTCGACCACAATGCCCTCCTTCCCAGACTCCTCCTGTGGATGGACAGTTTTTCATAGTCTGTGAAACTAGAAATGGTCTTGCTTCCTTTGCCTCCCACCTCCAATCAAAAGCCAGTTCTTGTTAATGCTATCTCAAATGACTTCATCTCCTTCACTTCTCACATCTGGTAAGTAGTCACATCCTGTCTATGCCATGTCTAAAATGTTCCCAAGTCCTCCCTTCCTTCTCCATTCTATTTTCTGTTGCCCTTTTCTGACCTCATCACCTATTGCATCAACCAGCTAACTGGCCTCCTTGCCTCCTTCCCTCTTCATTCCATCCTATACATAGCTACCAGAGTAGTTTTTCTAAAACACAAATTTAATAGCAATGGTCCTTTGCTGAAAAAGCAGTGGCTCCTGCAGCATAGACTGCCAGCAGCCCCATTTTCTGGCTACACTGCTTCTCTATCTGCAGGGTAATTTAGGTGTGCTATGTGTTTTGCTCATCAAGCACACCATACACTTCCATGGCCCACGTTTGTTTGTCTTCCTATAATGCCCTTCCTGCCTTTTCTACTTGTTTGGCTTATACCAATCCCTCAAGCTCCAGCTCCATTAGAAAGACCTAGTATAATATATTTAGAACACAGTAGGACTTTAATAAATATTTTTGGGGCTGAATTCAATGAAAAAGAAAACACAAAAACCTTGAGGTACAAATAAAAATGGGGGATCATTTTGTGAGCTGAGAAATATAATTGAATTTAAGTTCAGTGTAAGTCAAGTTTACTGTTAATGATAGCCCCCCTCCCCCAGGCCCCACGGCCCACCTTGGTGTGGCCTGCCTTGAACAATCTCCCTAGATACCTACTTTAAGATAATTTATATATATATAAAATAAATATTTATAAATAAATATATATATATATAAATATAATATATATATAAAATATATATTTTACTAAAATAGACTGAAGTGAACATATTTCATGATGACTTTTCCAAGTATATCTGTAATTTAACTTCCTCACACTGAAGTTGCTGAATAGAAAGGAACAGGGATGAAAACGTTTGATACATGTTGCCAAATTACAGGAACTATGCTTATACCAAAAGGGTATGAAGATTGGTTTCTGTGCCCTCAGTAAATGTGAATATTATCAAACTTAGATTTTTGCCAATTTGACAGATTAAAAAATGTTGTTTGGTTTGTATTTCCTTAATTATTATTGAGGTTGAGCATCTTTTCATATGTGTATTGTCCATTTGTATCTCTTTTTCTGCTTTCCCTGTTCATGTCCTTTGTCCCATATTCTATTTAGTTGGTTATCTTTTTCTTTATTGATTATACCTGCTCCTTATAAATTTAGGAAATTAGCCTTCTGTCTATAATATGGGTTGTAAATAATATTCCAAGTTTACCAGTTGTCTTTTGATTTTGTTCATTATTTTTTATTGTACAGAAATTTAAAAAAATATTGTAGTAAAATTTATCAGTCTTCTTTATGCTTTTCAGTTTTGTATCATTCTGAGAAAAGTCTTCTCCATTCTAAGATTATAAATAAATATACAGGGCCGGT